ACTTTATATAGAAAATAAGTTGTTGGAGTTTTCTATGTAATTTGTCTAGAAAATAAGTTGTTGGAGTTTTCTATGTAATTTGTCTAGAAAATAAGTTGTTGGAGTTTTCTATGTACTTTATATAGAAAATAAGTTGTTGGAGTTTTCTATGTACTTTATATAGAAAATAAGTTGTTGGAGTTTTCTATGTAATTTATATAGAAAATAAGTTGTTGGAGTTTTCTATGTAATTTGTCTAGAAAATAAGTTGTTGGAGTTTTCTATGTAATTTGTCTAGAAAATAAGTTGTTGGAGTTTTCTATGTACTTTATATAGAAAATAAGTTGTTGGAGTTTTCTCTGTACTTTATATAGAAAATAAGTTGTTGGAGTTTTCTATGTACTTTATATAGAAAATAAGTTGTTGGAGTTTTCTATGTACTTTATATAGAAAATAAGTTGTTGGAGTTTTCTATGTACTTTATATAGAATTAGAAAATGAGAGATTGTAATATTTTTTGCCAGTTCTTTATGTTAACTGTTGTGAGAATAAAAACAGTTCATCATGATGCAATATGTGAGCTCCCACCTTATCCGAATATCTTCGTACCTCCTGGTCTTCTTATTTGACACAAACACAGAGCTACACTGGCACTTGGAGCTAAACACACACATCTGTGGAGAACTTACAAACAGTTACCAGTGTAACGAGAAAGGAGGCGCCCGGATATCATTTATCAAACTTCTTTTTTGTTTTTACCTACATCATACCAAACACCTCACATACGTCGGAAAATGTAAATACATGTAAAATTCCTGACTGATTACAGTCTTCTATGTAAATCATGAAATCTTGTATATAAACATTTATTACGTCAACAGAATACCTGGATGTGTATCATCATGTTTAAAATGTCTTGACACGTTGATATACCACCGTCAGAATTTAGGTTAGAAATGTATATATATATATATATTTCACTCTGTTCGCCTCCCGACCATAAGGTTACAAGTAAAATGGATATATAAATAGTCTGTTACTTACTTTAAGCATATCCAAATGTGAAGTTATCTTGATACTATGTGTGTCGTTGAAAAAGTTAGTGGTTTAAAACATATTCCCTGACATTCTATATATTTATATATGTAAAACGTAATGGTTTTGAAAATTATCGACGTTATCAGCAGCTTAGATAAATTTTCGGTCTCAAATTATTGTAGTTTTTTTTTACGTTAACGTTGAAAACTTGACTGTTTTTTTTTTTTGCGATTTACTACGTTAAAAACTGTATGATTAGTATATCAGGAATTTCTGTTTTTCAAATAGATGTACAGTATACACTTATGTAAAAGACGAAAGACCATTCTTGCTTTGGTTATCAGTTGCTTTAACAAACTTTTTTTTTATCTTTTCTGTTTCTGCTGACATAAAACACTGCGAACACGTCTATTGTACATAATTCCAAATACTTTAAATCATCTATGTGCGAGCTAGAGCGTGCGTCGTATCATGCTGTGCCTCATAACGTGCTATATATATATATATATATGTGTGTACATATGTATGTAGTAATGAGCATGGGAACGTAAGATATACATGTGTTTGGTGATAAAAAAAAATTCGTTGGGACTTCCTAATCCACAATTGTTTCCTTGTTTTAAATGTTGATGAGTCAGAATTCAGAGAGTACTTTGTTGAGGGTGCTATCTGTATTTATTGACAACAGCAATTTTCTTTGATGTTCATTTTTTTTCTAATTCTTCTTAACCCCCTCGCGTTTACTAGATCTATTTTTAGGTTAGGCGTGGCCCAGTGATTAGCATGCTGAGATGAGGATCGAAGGAAGACTTAATGCCACACACTTCGCACTCTTAGTTGTGAGCACGTTAAAAAAAAAACAACGAAAAAACGCGACAGCCATTCCCGTTATCCGGTTCAAAGCCCTTTTGGCGGTGGGTGCTGATATCCGGCTGTCTTTTTTTTTGGTCAATAGTCTAAAAACATAGACCTAAACCTTATGTGTCTCTCACCTGGCTGTTTAGTACAATATCGAATAACCTGCCGTTCAGGTTAAGAGACTCCATTCTAACTCTAAAGGTTAAAATATTTCAATTTTAAAGATGTAAGGATTTCAATTCTAAAAATGTAAAGATTTCAATTTTAAAGATTTAAGGATTTCAATTTTAAAAATGTAAAGATTTCAATTTTAAAGATTTAAGGATCCCAATTCTAAAAATGTAAAGATTCCAATTCTAAAGACTCAAGGATTCCAATTCTAAAGATGTAAAGTTTCAATTCTAAAGACTCAAAGATTCCAATTCTAAAGATGTAAAGTTTCAATTCTAAAGACTCAAAGATTCCAATTCTAAAGACTCAAAGATTTCAATTCTAAAGATGCAAAGTTTCAATTCTAAAGACTCAAAGATTCCAATTCTAAAGATGTAAAGTTTCAATT